CGAGAGGCAGAAAATATAGTCTTTGATAGATTCTCACGTCGTCCACAATATGAATATTCCTGTCTCTGCAAACAACACTCGTCAAATTACACAGTCGTCGCATTTAAATTCCGAACGGAGCACGAACGTCGTCTCGAATTTTCATCAGATATTAAATAAAATCGTTCTTCTTCTCTCGTGGCACATTATAATTACACGTTTCATCACAAATTATACGTTTAAACTCGAATATCCAATTTCAACGAACATTCGTCTTGGAAACATTCATTCAACCTCGAAATAAAATCAAGAGACAAATGTCGTCTCTGAAATTTCATGAAAAAAGAAACTTCGTTCATTTGTTTTTGTTTTTTCCTTCGTCGTGAAACGCTGGATATCGTAAATTATCACTTCGAAAATCGAATGTTGGAATCAAGCACAAAAAAAGTATCGAATTTTCGACGAAATTCCTCGAAACGTTCACGAATCATAAACACGTTTTCAAAATGCAAATCAAGTACATTTGTCAAGAACGTTCGAGATTTTCACGCGTTAATCCGTGACGGTACTTCCTGCTCCTGGACGTCGACGTCCCGTTATTTTGTCAGGCGTTTGCAAAAATTCCGTGGAATCTGCGCGGTCGATAACGCGACGTACATACGTATACGTAGACTCTGTGTCTGTCCATAGTTCTGCATTATAATTCGCAGCCGATCATCGTCGAGGGGATCGGCGCAGTCAAAGTCGAGGACGTGAGCCGATAAATTCGCGGGGAACTCGAAATCCTTGAACGAAAAACGATTCGTCCTTGGGGAATTTGCGAAATTACCCGCGGTGTCGCGAGTATGGAAATTAGCTCAATTGCAAGCGACCGGCTCCAGTTTCATAAAAATCCGGCAAGGTCCGCGGTTTGGCGTTCCCCTGTTCCTTTTGCACGCCACTTTCCATTCGCCGCGTCTTTTTCCTCCACGCTTTTTGTCACTTTATGGCGGCTGTCGCATTCCATTGACGATTTTATTTAATCGAGAGCGAGCTAGAAAATATTCCTCGCGAGCTCTCCTGGCGAGAGATATTCAAACAATCCGTGCTCCAGGCGGAATATTTCACGGTGAAATTTTTATTTAATAAAATCAGGAGATACCTTTCTATTTCTTGCTGATTTGAGTCGACTAATTTTTATGTTTTTTACAGATTACTAATAGATTAATTGAGCACGAAACAAATGATTCATTAAATTGCAGAAAATCTATAGAATAGATTAATAAAATTTAGATGAATATAAAATGGATCGGAAGAAATGTACCTGTAATAATTAATCAAATTATTAATATGCATATTACTAAAATTTTGATGACTATAATATTAGATTACTCGTAGACGAAATTTAAGATTGATAATAAAATTCGATTAAATTAAAAACCCCAAAATCAAAGTAGTTTAATACTAAATTCTTATGATTAATTTCACTGCAATAATTTGAATATATTTTAGTCGTAAATACGCGTTTATTCATTCGGATATCTTCTTCTTTCTTTCTCCGATTGTAATGCAAAACGCAAATTTATTTTCTACCTTTTTTCTTCTTTCTCAGGATTTCGTTTTTAATACGAATGTATTTTTCTTGGTGTGCGTGCGATATTGAATATTGAATAACTCATTGAATCTTAGTGACTTTTTCGCGGCTGTGAAATTAATCAACGTCCAATTCTTTCTTTCTTTCTTTTTTTTTGTCTTTTTCTTTTTTCATTTGAATATGCGAAGTAACTCTGCATTCGTATAATTCTCGCATTAATTTCACCAAAGATTAATCACCTTAGTTCGTTCCTATTTATCTTAGTCCCCTTTGAGTTTAAAAATGTATCAGCGATACGTTTTAAATTTTAGCATACAATTGGAAATATTAAATTTTGAATTATTACATTGATAGTTACTTAAGAAGTCAATTCGTTAAAAATTATCCTTTTATAAATTGGAAATTTCTACTTCAATTACGGGTTCTCTACATCGATCCTATATTTAAATTACTTTTATAGTTCTACATCAATTCTGAAGTGACTTCAATATCGATTCCTGCGTCAAGTCTGAAGTAATTCAAATTTTACGTTTCTCTTTATTTTATATTTTTTTGCGAACGTAATTTAAAAAAAATTTCTTTCATCTATGAAATATTCTGATAAACATTAAAGCATTTTTCACTTATATGCATATCTCTAGATTTCACGAAATTTATTAATTGTACAAAAATGTTCACTAATTCAAAAATTCACCGAATTCAATAAGAAACCATAAATTTCTTAAATTTTACACAGAATTTTACAAAGGAAAATTCGTCTCTATATTTATTTGTTTATCGAGCAATTGCTAGATAGTACAAAGCGTTTAGACAAAAGAGAACTTCTCTTTCCAGTTACGATCGTTACATCGGCGTTTGATAGACGCAGTTTCCAATAGTCGAACTTGCGAACCAGCATCGTAGACGACCGAGCATAAATGGACGAAATTATTCGCCCATTGATACCAGACAATTATCAACGTTCGTGCTGTTTGACAGACCGTGCATCCGAATGCTGCACGCTTGGAGATCATATCGCGAGACATGGTGAAGGGAGGTGTTGGAGGATCGAAGGAGCGCGAAATTGGCATCGATAGTTTCCTCGATAGCTTTTCTTTGCTTTATTTCGCGTCGGTCGCGCGATTTCTTCGATTTTTCTCAATAATGTGTTTTCCAATTTTTCGCCGAGTAACACAGTCTTTATATCTCACCGCCACTCCTCCTCCACCTCTATGCACGTTCATTCTTATTTCCTTCAGCCTCGGTTTCACCATCCCGTTCGCGCTTCTCGTGAATTTCCAGCAGGCTGGAAAATCTCTCCGGTGACCGCCGCCGAGCCTCGGGAAATTGAATTTAGTGCGCCGTTGGTGAAATGGAATTCAATTATTAGTAATACGGTGGAGCCGCGATTGAAAAAGAATGACAGAAGCCCGGCGAAAGAGCGGGAAATGGCGAGAACAGGAAAAGGGCGATGAAGGGTACGCGGACGGCGGATAATAGAGCTAGGTACAGTGAATGCGAACCGACGAAAATTCGTCGTGTAAAATTAATCGCGGACTTAATTACCGGTTTTCCTCTAATTAAGCCCGATAAATGATTTCAATCGTGGCGAGGAACAGGGCGACCGGTATCCACTGAATTACTTCGCGCGATATTTTGTGATCGTTCGTCTGGATCTTAAAAAGTAACCGGACTTTGTCGACATTCGTCGACATTAACAGGTTTTGCGAGTTCATCGGCTGTGAATATCTCTACGCGTGCTAGGAGTAATTTACGTCTAAAATTTCTCAACGTGATTGGAAGGATCTTTGTAACTGAGCGAAGGACGATTCCATCTTTTTACTGAAACTATCTTTCACCTTCGTGTAATTTTCATTCTCGTTTGCGAAGATGAAGTTAAAACAAGTTTTGACATCGTGACAGCTTGACACTGTTGGAGAAAACGTTTTTTAAAAAATCGTTATATAATGTGTCAATCAATTTCCAAATTAGACTAGTCGATTGATAAAAATTTTACAAATTCAGTTCGGTTACTCTTTGATCACACACATGTTTTTCCTTCTTTCTTTGTGTCTGATCGTTCATCACTAGGATAGATCATTCTTCTATTTCACTATTTCACTCGTTTAATTGGATGATAGATCAAAGGTAGCAGCGTAGAGGAGAGAAAGCGAGAGGATTTAGGAGAACGATAATAAGAGAAGGAAGAAAGACGAAGTTCAGAAGCCGAACGAATGATTTAATCGGACGTGAAGAGAAGTTGATAATTAACGAGTCCCAACGGCGCGTCGACAATGCTTAACGTTGGAAACAAAAGCGGCTGCCGGTGTAGTTAGGTGTACTGCTGATCTTCCTACGCTAAACGAACTTCCGGGTGGCTTGTTCGCTTTTGCACGCGCCTTCAGTGCGAACCGTCCGCCACTTTCCAGGCGGACCGTGGTGCACCGTTAGAACTGTAAGCAGACTGTAGTCAATTTCCTTATCGATCCTGTAGAAGAAGAATCGCCTTCTCTTTATATTTCTCCTATACAGAAGATGTTTTCGACCTTTGTAATAAAATCAGGTGAAAAGATTCGAAATTAGGAAGTCAAGAAGCATACATAGTATATAAGAAGCATAGATATCTTCTAATGGAGAAATTATGCTTGAAATTGAGGCAGAACGTGCTTCTTAGGAATTTGGCTAATATTAAGCCTAATATTAAATTATCAATATTTTTATTCAAATATGCGTAGGTGTCAGTATGAATTTGAGTGATCACGGTTAATTCTTTTTGTAGAAAAAGATACTTTAATTTTAGCGAAAAACTATATTATAAATATTTTACAACTATATTACAAATATTTTCGTGCCCTTTTATTTATGAAAGAAATTGTTAAATTTCGTAGATTAATTTTAATAGGCCCATTACTTTGAATATTTCGTGCGCTTTATAAATAACAGAAATATTTATATACATATGTACATATTTCTTTTTATATTGTATATTGCTATTTAGATGATCCATGCTGTATCATTTATTATTAAAAGTATCGTGATTCGACAATAAATAATTCGTTACAAAAGTACGACGAAAAAGTGCTACGTTGTTTCATTTTCTGCAACAATTACGAGCTAGATTTTTACCAGAAAATTACAGGAATATAGACCAATATTAAAAGTTTGGGGAAAAACAACAGTTCTCCTACACACATTCACAGTCACTTCTCTTTTATCTCAATTTGCATATAAATTATATTTTTTTTATCACACTAAGCTTTATTCTACTCTCTTTCTTTTTAACTCATGGTTGTTTACAACATCATAAAGAGATGTTACGTAAGAAAGAACAGAGTGGCCATTTGCTGAAGAAGCAGGCCGACTGACCGACTCCCATCCGACGCTCACATCCCCGGAGAGTCGTAACAATGCGACTCCGGGCCAGCAGTATTATTATAATAAATGGTTGCGTGTTGCTTGTCTGTTGCAGAAAAATTGCTGAACAGCGAGGGCCGCGAGCTGCGACGAGCTCTCTTCTCCCTCAAGCAGATCTTTCAGGTGAGTTTGCAATCCGCGAGACCCGCGGCAACGCGCGTTGGAAAAGGAACGCGTGGTAGGAACACGACGAGAGAAAAGAGAGAGGGATAGGAAGGGCATCGCGAACTGATGGTGAAGCGAGGAAAGATGGTGGAACGAGAGAGACGGGAAGGGAGAAAAAGACAAAACCAGAGGGAGAAGAAGGTGGACGGGGCCATTTTTACGCGCGAGCTACTCGCTCGACGAGTAAATATTTGCATGGCGGTTTCTCAGCGAGTTGCATTCTCTCTACTACTTTTTCGTTCTTTCTCTTTCTCTAGCTATAACCGTAGGTAGGTCCTCGTCTCGTAAATTCGTCGTTGTAGGTCACGTTCAGTTCACGTCAGGCCTCGATACGTTTCTCAACGCGATGGTCGAACGTTCGCTTGTCAACCCCTTATCATTTTCTTGTCGATGTTCCTCGGCAAGCGTTACTCGTTGCAACTTGTTACGTCGAGTCAGATGTAAAGTATTGAAGGATAGAGAAAATTGAAATTTCAAATTCGAATTTACTAGAATTCGTGACACGATATTATAATTATGAAACGAGAGGTTATCTTGTTTTTGGAACTAATAGGTATATAAAGTGTAATTCAAATAGAATTCCTTCATCTGATTTCGACTCAGATAGCTATAGCAAATATTGATGAAAGAAATAATTATGTGACAGAAGATAAGACGACTTTTTTCGTCAAAATGCACTAGGTTTTTAAATTGTGATTTAAAGACCTAAATAAATGAGAGGAAGATTTTATACGTAAAAGAATATCCAGAAGAAACTTAGATCAAAATATTGTTTGTAACCAATGGAAAGTTGGTATTTCGTGTCGACTCAGTGAAAATTCGGTCGGCAACATATTAATCGATGCGCTCGTCAGGAATGATGCGATTGGTAGCGTTTAATTAGAGGGAATCTCGTGTCGATGATTTATCGAGTTTTCATTTACCGTGTACGAAGCGTTCCATAACTGGTCGTACGTACAGAATAAATCATGATGAATCTGCGTGGAATAAAATGAAGAAAAGTGTAATGAATTTCTTTTCTAATTAAACCGATTTTTCGGATTTGTTATTTCCGTTTCAATTGACCAGTTGAATATAGGCAGAAGAGAAGGCTGCAATCTTAAATTACGAATGAAAACGTGTAAAAGTTAGTGATGTAATAATAATTTGAATATTTTAGCGTGAATCGTGTGCAGTCTGGAAATATTTGCATCTTTGAATTTTTCATACACGCGTAAATATCGCCAGCCAGAATATTTATTGTTACACCGCGGACTTTCATATATTTGTAGGAAATATATTTTCAAGGTTTGAAAAAGGTCACAAAATGCATGTAATATGCACAAATATACGAAATATACGATTTTTTTCAGTAACTTGTAATAAAATTTAAATTCCATTTTCAAAATATAAATTGCAGATTTGTTTCTACGCAAATAAATTGTGTCCAAGTTAACGAAAAGGAGAAGTGAATTGTAATCTTGTAAAAATTCGCTCTGTTCTGCGCCATAAATCCAATTGTCGAGTCATCAATCGTGAAAAAGATATTGTTAATTAGCGACGCGAAGGTAATAGTGGAGTAGCTCGACTGTCCCGATGAAACGAGTCGGATCCCCGAATTTGTTCGTTTTTTCAAACGCCGGCCGTTTCAGCTTCCACGACGTTCCTCCTGCTTCCGTTTCCGGAACAAGAAGGGCAAACTGGACGCCGCTCGAGCGTGTTTATTCGAGTCCCCGGAACTTTTCTTAACTCTGTTCGCCGTAATTAAATCTCGTAATTAGCCGAGCGGCAAAGGAATTTTTCTTTCCGCGAGCTGCAAGTCCGGGAAACCGTTCGTTAAGAGAAATTCCATTATACCGGAAGCTATCGTTCCGCCTTCGTAAAATGATGGATGAGTTTATTGTTAAATTATATTAGGGGATCGTGATGAATGGAACGAATGTCAGCCACGTGCGATGGTCGACAAGGTGTTATTAGTAGCTATCGTGATTATTTTATCGATCACGCGGCTTAATTTCATTTAAGTTTTACTTTTATTTTCCTGCTTTTTTTCTTCGCTCACGTGTCACGGCTGCGCGCGTGATTTATATTAACGACGTTAATCCGTTAATCGATAATGTTACATTTTATTGGCACCGATTTCGGTGAAATATTATAATGACAAGGATAACCAATATTGCTACGTACCTATTAGATTCCAGATTTATTGCCGGAATTATTGAGAAGAATATTAACGTTGAATGACAAATGTGTTAATAATCGAGTGCAAATCGCGTTACGGGACGATTGACAACTGCACGGGGCCTGCAACGACAGCTCGCTCGACCGCGAGTTTATTATATTTGTGGCAAAAAATGGTCAGAACTGGTAGCTAGTGAGAAATCGAACAACAGAGAAATTTGGTTCATTTAAACTCAAAAATTGATCGAACGCTTCATTAAAGTTAATTGATCAGAAATGAAAGATGTCATCGGTGTCATGTAAATAAGAGAAAGTTATTTCTATAATCGATCAAATATTATATGGAGGCCTCAGAAGGCAATCAGTCATTTCTTGTGCGTTGTAAATATTATCTTCGAAATATCCAGTTGATGGTACAATTTAGTCATTATAATGTAATCACTACAATGTATGTAATCGTTACTTATAATTAAATTATAATTGAACTGTCGCACGAATTAAAAGTTTATACACGTAGAGTATGTTTGAAAATTTTTCATGATAAAAGTAACTTTAGAAAAGCAATTCAAACGAAAAATATTGATCAAAACTGCCTGTGACAAATATCTTAGTCTTGAAATGACAAAAATTCCAAAGCGAACGTTCCGACTGCGTTAAATTGAGATCAAATTTAAATCAGAGACGTCCTTTTACGAGACGTCCTTTCCTCAAAGGGGAAACGTTTAATTAGACAATACGTTTGCCACATCGTAAAGATAAATCACTGCAGCCGATGGCTGAAGTTGAAGGCGCCTAAAAACAATCCTCCAACTCTTCCTCCTGCCTTATCGTTTCAATTATCGGACTGACTAGCTACAAAATTAATTACAATACTCGGCCCTACGTCGATATAGTACAGTCGTCGCTGATCGAACGAGATTCCCTGCCTCGTCCAGCGGGTTTTATCCGCACAGTATCGCCGCCGCAACGTTCAATTTCGTTTCTTAATCTTGGCTAATCGGCTCGGCGCGTCGCGTCCGATGAACTTCCACTATCTTGGAAAGCGAGAGCCTGAAACGTGGCCGTGAAACGCACGATCGTGAAACGATCCGCCTCGCGTCCGCCAATTTAATCAAACGTAATGCAATTTTCTATTATGTCCGCGATTTGCCGCCTCCGGCGTCGTAATTAATTCCATTTCACTCGTCTAATCTACGTTCGGCGTAGGTAAAAAAAAAAAAAAAATCCCTCGAATCGGAGCTCGTTTTGCTTCTTGCCGTTTCGTTTGATTTTTTATTGACTTCTATCACTTGGAACGCTTAATCGTTAGAACATACGATGATTGCGGCGACAGAAATGATAAAGTTGTATTTAGACTGTAGAATAATTACAAGTAACTTTTGTATTTTCTTTATTTGTAAACTGAGCAGTTTATTTATTTATTTTTATTGTAGAAGAACGGAGGTTTTGCGCTTTAAGTTAAAGCCAAGTGATGAATCGTTACGCGATTTTCTTTTACGAAGTTGTAACGTCTTAAAACGTCGATGATATTTTATCGTTATTGGCTCGGTTACGCTCTTCGCTGCATATTAAGTTTATTAATAAATCGTTTCGATAGATTCTACAAAATTGCTCAGTACATGCTGTAATAGATTATCTATCTTACTCTCTATGTACAAAGACTTTATTTTTACATACAATTCAGAGAAATAGAGTCATCGAAACCAGTTGATCGTTAAATAGAACCCAATGGATTATCCGTATCCGCGATTCAACGTTTCTCAAAAGGTGGGCCATAAATTCCAAGCCGTCGAACCGTCGATTAGGTTGAATCGTTTCGTTTCAGGTTGAATAAATTAGGCGTGCGAGCGACGATGATCGGTAGTAGTACGTAACGGGCGTTCTATTCAACTGCGGAGGACGGCTATTTACCATAAACTTTGGTTTTGCAGGAGGACAAGGACCTGGTGCACGAGTTCGTGCAAAATGACGGGCTTGCTTGCCTCATCAAGGTTGGCAGCGAGGCCGACCAGAATTATCAAAATTACATACTACGAGGTGAGTATACTGACAATTTGTCGATAGAGACTCTTTGGTATCCCGTGTTTTTCTGCCGCGGCTGGCTTAGACTTCTAATAGCGTACGTAAGAGTTCCTCCGTGTATGTATCATCCAGGCTATACTCTTCGCGGCTGCAACTGCAGTCTACCGCCAGCATATAAATATTTACGACGGCAAGAAGTCGGATTTTTTAGAAATTCGTCTTCTGCGTTTTACCTTTGATCAGTCTCAAGTTACTTCTTCCTTTTCTTTTCTCTTTTTCTTTTTTTTTTTTGTGAAATCAGAGGTACCGAGAAATTATTTTAAGTTGTTAATGTACAGTAATATCCTCAATGACCTTTTTTACTATCGAAATTTACAATATTCTTTCATTCTACAAACTATCCTGGAGAAATAGATCAAAAATTTGAATTTCAAGACAGAAGAGCTTGTACAAATAAATCGAAAGTGTTAAATTAATTTAATTATTTTGTCAATTCTAGTTAATTAAATACCTTAAACGAGTTCATTTCTCATACTATTCTTCTTATGGAAATTGTCACTTCTCACAAAAGTCTGTTAAGCTACAATTTTCATTCTAAATTAACCGATGATGTTACCACTTCCTTAACATCGGAAAGGAACATTTTCATAATCCAGCAATTCTCAGACGCGGCCAGGTCTCGAGATTTCTCGCTAAACACGAGAGCGCGGTACGTCTGCAACGTTCTCATAAACAGTGATAAGATAATACTCGGGTAATGCAGCTAACACTTAACGAGCTAACATCAACGGATCCGCGAAACTGAGTCCCAGACGAGCGACAACATCGTCTTCTCTCGTTTCTCCCCTTCTCGCCTTTGAGGATCTCGTCGAAAGACGGACGCGTGCTTTCGCGTAATATGCGTCGTAACCTGCTGGAAGATCTATAGCGCGCGTTCAAGCTCGCGGAGGCGGTTTCCTTGATGTTCAAATTGAGTTTACTTTTATGTTCCTGTGCGGTGGCTGAAAGAATTTTAACGAATATATAAATACTTGAACGATAAAATCATTCACAATGTCGGAAAGAATTAATTTACAAAGGAGGGAAAAGGACAATAAATCTACGAAATTTCCCAAGAAATAGTTTCTACGAACCAATTTCTATTTGAACATCATACAAATCATATTATGAAAAGTGAACATTCATTAAAAGGCACACAGAGATAGACAGTCAATGATATCTCCAATTATTTGTATAAAATACATTTATTCAGAAGAAACTTTCATAAATGCATTAATAACGTGAATTTTCAGTAAGAAAGTTAATAATATTTTCGACACGAGTTCATCAGCAACACCTTTCTTACATCTTTACTTTTCGGTACGGTTAAAATCACCTATAAACTAAATCAGAATTTTCTTGGCGATTTAGAGATGTTGTAGTAAAAAAAAATCTCCATTCACACAGGCTTCTGTTAACTCTTTGAAAACCTCGAAAACTTTTTTCTAAAATAATCATTCAAATATTTGAACACACTAAATTTTATTGACTGTACCTTAATATCGTTTTTTAAATTTAAAGCAATCAACGTGCATTGCCGGTTTGTTGTAACAAGTATAATGGAAAAATAATATCCTCCATCTTCTTTTCTAAATTTTCGTAAAAAGCAATAAAAAGTCTAGTTTATGTGAGAATTATTCTAACGATCAGGATTGTTTTCAAAAATTCTTTTGTTCTTCTTACATCGTTATAGCTTTCACTCTAGCTGTCTGTTCAGATATTACTACATCGCATCATACAACACCGAATGTATATGTTCATTATATAATTATCAGCAAATTATAAAAAGAGAAAGAGCTGTTAGTTAGATTTAGGTACGATCCCCTCCCCTCAGAAAGGACAGTCGAGTGCAAAAGGTTAAGCGAGCACGAATTATGCGAACTGTATATCCCTCGATAAATATGTACAGAGAAATTGACAAGTCCTACTGTAAACTTTAATCTCAAACTAAATCTCAGACAATCGCATCCATCTAGAATGTAATTCTGAGAATTACGTGGCGTGCGAGCGATAAGCAGAGTCAGTCGGCCCCAACAACGGACGTCCACACGCGGGATTGCGCCGTTAACGCAGCCTGTTTACAAAAGCATCTGCCCGTGGATTCGTCTGCGAAACCGCGACGCGTAGCAGATTATGAATGCACCCTTTGATCGCGTTTCGAGTGGCTCGCCGAGCGGCGCAGGTCGACTCGAGTGCTTCGTAAACCTTCGCTCCGAGCCGAACAACGCCACGGAGAAGACCAATTCCGCGTCAGCTGGCTGCTCGATACGGCCACGCGGCCCACTTGTGCCATCCTCGCTCTTTTCCTGCCACCGATAACGAAGCAGAGTCGCCTCCTCTCTAGTCTTCGATCACCGGCTGGACCTCGTCGAGTGCGTTGTATACCGAACGAGTCCTCCGGGAGTCCACGCAGACAGATCCTTCGCAAGAAGCCGAAACTATCTCGCTATCCGCTATCCGGATACTGCTCGCACGGGAGGAATGATACCTCACGGTCTTCGTAAGCTGTTTCTTTTCCTTTTCCTTCTTTTGAAATTGATCTTCGATCGTAATCTATTTCAGTTGCAAAGGGAAACAGAGTTTTCACTTCGTTTATTTCAGTTTTCTAAAATTCTAAATTTTACTAGTTAATTTGTTCACTGAGTTTTTGTCGATTCGATTCATTCTTCTGAATGTATACTCTTGTTACGTGAGTCTGTAGTCCGGAAAATTTGTCAGGCTTTATCGCGACGTTACAACGAAGGTTTTAATTTTGAATCGCGGTTTTCATTTTAATCTCGCTCGTGTGAACTTTATTTATTCAAACAAAGTTTCAACTGGACGTCTCTTTCCGGATGAATTCACTTTGGCATGGTGATGCTTCAGTTTAGTAATTAATTCATTAACTGAATTTTTATTGGTTGAATTCATTCGTTTGAATGTAAATTGTATGAAATCTGTAGTTGGGAAAATCTGTCAGGTCCTGATGTTGGAATGAAGATCTTGCAAGGATTTGATTTTGAATCGTAGTTTATTGCAGCTGCAAAGGAAGCAGTTGCGTTAACTTTATCTGTTCAAACAAAATTTTCCCCCGGGGTGAATTCATGTTTGGTTGCACCATCTGGTCGTTTTCATTACAAATGCAGCTTAATATTCTACCGGAATAATAGAAAGCAAGAAGCATTCTTCTAAAGCTCAAAGTTCCACGTTCTCTTACCCGTAACAAACATCAATTGCTCCTGCTCCTCTCTCCCCCCTCCCCTCCTTTCAGCTGTACATTTGCAAACAGAAGTACATCCTTTCGTTCGGTCCTTCTCTACCGATTAACTCCGGCCGCGATCTCGAAGACGATTTCCTTCCTTCGAGTTAAATTGGGTTCACGGTGATCCTTTTACGGCTGTTCTCAAGAAGGAGCGACAAAGTGGAAGAGAGAGAGAGAAAGGGGGACAAAGTTGCTAAGTAGTCGTTTAGCCAGGTCAATTAAGATTAACCGGATATCGAACAACACGAGGACCTTATCAATGGATAAGTTAAGAGCAGTGATAACATAATTCATAAAACAATTTGACAGTTGGGGCGAATCAGTCCTCTCACCCTTTGGAAGAAGCTTACTCGGCAACGTGATGTTACCTGTCTAGTTTACAGATTCAGAAGGGGAAGGAGGGTCTCGTTGCGTGTTCCTTATCTCTTGGTAAACAGGAAATTTATTACGAGCAGCCTCGAACGAACATCCAATCTTCTAATCCACGATCTACGGTAGGGAACGCGAGCGCATCTATGTCGACATCTTGCCGCGTGTGTCAGCCTTGGTTGATTACAGCGACGCTTCGCCACGCTATTGGCTCGTTAAAGTGCCGACTGTCTGACAGTTTCGGTTTGCTGGGAACGTTCCAATGGTAACTTTGATAAGACGCTCGCTCAACTCAGGTGTAACAGATAGGCTCGCGCGTAGAATGGATATCCGTGTTAGCTGGTTTTCAGGTTTCGAATCGGGGTCGCCGATGATTTTCAACTTGTCGCTACGCGTAATCTTTTGTCTGGAAGTCTGTAATGAATCATCGTGTCACCTTGTCGATTAACTCATTTGGAAAGCAACATTCGTGTTTTGCAATGAAATATTATAAATTCATATTTTGCGATATATAATTTCGTACTTTGTAATAAAATATTATAAATGCGCGTATGTTTCTACCACGCAGATTAAAACATCAGAAATTGTGATATATAGGTATATTACAAGTGAAATATTAATTTTACAAACGGATCGTGGACATTTGTGCAAGTTTGCATTTTTATGATTATTTCGCGGATTTAGAAACTAAAATCTAGGTAAAAGAAAAGAATTGTTTTACTGATACCACGCTTTATACTTGTCGACTTATTTTACTGGCATATTTCCGAAGGATATTAATTGTGCAAATCGTAAATGGTATGCTGCTTTGAAAATTGTTTGTAGCATACTCATTGGACAATTAACTGAGATAACGAGCACGCAATTAAGAACACGGATGATTACATTACTACAACTTCGAAGTACCTCTCGTGATAGCAAATTACCGTTAATTAGTAAATAGTTGATCCCAACGTAGAAAATTGATGTCTGAAAGAATTAATAGTTGTCCGTCGTAAGAGAGTAACAATAAATCTTTTAATTTTGTGAAATTTTATGATTCGTTGTGTGTTCATCTCTGTAGGAATAATTGAGAAACATTTTTCCAATTAGCATTCTTTTTAATTCTTCAATGTAAAGTATCTAAAATACGAAAAATGTTGCAATATATTATCTTAATAAGTTATATCGCTTCTATATTCCGTAAAATCTACATTTTTAAAAAAACTAAACGAGACGTAGGATGTAAAACCTAAATGCTGCCCCATTCTGCTACCAGTAAAATCTTCCTCTTCATTTTGACTTTTGAAATCGCGTCGACGATTCAAAGTGAATTTCTACGATAAAAATTAAGTGGTGGAGGCTCTAAATTGATCGGGAGGGGGAA